AGCCTTGGCATTGTTTCTCCGCGGGAAACCGAGGCGTTGTGAGAACGACGAGGCGACGTTGCTGACGGAGCGGGCCCACAGTTCGTTCGCGACAAAATTGATTGCCGCGGTGCCCCTGGGCACCCCCAACGCGCAGGGTTCATCCTGGGTCTGCCGGCGCTAGTTTCGGCTCAAACCGACGAAAAATAGACTCCTTGGGCACGACTGGGCTGATTTTCGGACGCCGGTGCTGAAAAATCCCATGGGGGGAGGGGGGCTCTTGAGGGCGCGCCTGGAGATGCTCCTGAATTGAAGCGTCGCACGAGGGGAGATCTGGGCGAGCGAACAACCTGCCTCGGCGCGTCTGATTGTGCGCTAGTCGTCAAGGGAAGGCCCAGTACAGTAACACATCTGCTGGGGGCTCCCCCCCCCCCCCCAGGGGCCGGGCCTGTCTTGTGTAGGTTTTTTTAGGAAAAGACTACTACTCTATCGGCTGATCACGCGGAGAGTTCCATCACGCGCGCAGCCGTTGGATTGCCCTTGATCCATACGTTTTCACACAAGCTCACACACGTTAATTATTTCCCTTGCCTACCCATGTGACCCTTTACCTTATCTCGCAATAGCAGCGGTGTTGCAAACCATAGCCACGACCAGGACTGCAACTTAGACAAGTTTCTGCAACATCAGCTCTGTTGCAAAAAAACTTTGCTACAAAATGTATGTTGCAAAAGAAAAATCCCGCAACATAACCTATGTTGCAAAAAATATATTCTGCAACATAACTTCTGTTGCAAATTTTTCGGCGACAAGATCTCTGTTGCGAAGTAGAGAGAGATGTTGAGCCGCTGGGTTGTGTCACATCCAACTACTCGCGAGGCGGCGGATCATCCCTTTTTTAGGGGACAAAAAAATCTTCTATACCTAGAGGATGTCTTACGAGCATGAGCTGACATGTGGGCCGTCAGCCGTGTTGACACTTCTCATGGTGATATGGAACTCCTTGCCGCAAAGCGTCCCTCTGCTACCTCGAACGCCAGATCCGTCTCTCTTCTCGATGGCCTAGGTCACAGGCGGAGAGCCCAGCGACGCATCCACCCTCCGGTCGCCTTGGCGGCAATTTCTATCGCTGGTGACATGCCCATCGCGAACTAATCCCCTTTCGGAGTCCAAACTGCCGACCCACCTGTTGGTGCTGTGCACAGTTACCATGTCAACCATGGCGACCTCTGTAGTGGCTTTCAGGTTGCCCACACAGAAGTCCTGGTGGAGCACCATAGAGCAAGCCTATCCCATCGGGCGTAAGCAACGATCATAGGCTCGTAGCGTATGTGAATTTCTCCCTGGTTCCCCGTGCAACCGCAAGGTGCTCTGGACGGGGACTACCTGTCGCCGGTTCGATTGCTATAAATAGAGATCAATGCACACAAAGGGTTGAATCCAAACCCACTCTGTTCAGGTGAACAAGCCTGGGTACGCGTGCTTTAAATTTTATGTGATTGGCGTGAATTTGGCGTTGGTCAATGCCAATGGAATTTGAGGATCTGACTAAATGCTTTTGGAAATTCATCGTATGCAGTGAATCATCCAGTCTTGTGCTTGTTAGCGATTCTCCAACAGCCTTGCTGGTCTGAGTTTGAGTCTGAACTGCACGACGGAGATCGGTGCCAAGGGTTTGAGTCTCTGAAACTCAGAGGAACACAAGAATCGGCACGCATGATCGAAGCAATATTTTCCAGAGCCATGAGAAAAAGCAAGGATTTCAATCGTGAGGTATAGTTGAAACATCTAAATTGCAGAGACAAATTTCTAATGATATATATCCCCCATAAATTTCTAATGATATAAATCTGTGGACAGTTTTTGCTTAATTGTAGGCTTGTAGCTAAACTTTGAAGTCGGTTATGCAACTTTATCATGTTATAGAGAGGGTACTACTATTATCACCCATTTTTATGCGGTTATCTCTTGAACTTTTGGAGCTAATATAATTATCGCAGTCTAACCATAGGTCTTGATTTTATTCTACTGGAGTTCATTCTTCTATCTTGATGTTGTGGGCGCTCTCATTTGGTCTGTTAGAGCATCTCCGGCCGTTGGCCCGCCAGGAGGCGCTAAAAATCGCCCCTGGACACGCACCGGCGCAAACCGCGTGCTAGGGGTGTGATGTCCCCCAGTCGCGGCGCCCACGTTTTTTTGAAAATTTTAATTTCGGCACAAACACGGCGCAAATTCGACCAAACTTCGGCGAGTTCGTACAAATTTAAAATATTTTACAAAAAAGAAAAAAAAAGCTACTAGGGTGCTCCTCACCGCTCCTCACCGCCCGCCGCCCTTGCAGTTCTACATACCGAGGAGGCGGTAGAACCGCATGTAGTCGCCGTCGTCGTCGTTATCGTCGTCGCCGCCTCCTCCGCGGCCGCCATCCCTGCTGCAACCCTTCCCCGGTTGGCGCGGCGGGTTGGACGGTCCGGGGGCGTCCTCGTCGTCGTTGCTGTCAAGGATCACGACGCCGTGCTCGTCCTCGCGTCCCCAGCACCCGCATGTCCGGTGGGACCGGGTACTCAGCCTCGAAGAGGAGCCGAGTTTCGTCCTCGTGAAGGTGGCGGCGGCCGAAGCCGTTCGCCGCAGCACCGTCGCCTGGGAAGCGCTCGGCCATGCTTTGAACTGGAGATGGCGAGAGGAGAGGGAGGAAAGGGGGAGAAATGGCGTTGCGGCGGTGGAGATTTTGTGTGTGTCACCGGCGCGCTGGGGTTCGGCTTATATAGGCGGAGGCGCCGCTCGTACGCGTAGCCGTCGCGCGTACGCGTGGCGGGCGAGGGGACGCGCGTCGTCCGGTCACTGCGCCGCCCGTGACGCATCAATGGAGGAGGCTGACCGGCGCGACATCGCGCGGCAGCTTTGGCATTGATTCGCCGCGGGAAACGAGGCGATAAGGACGACGAAGCGACGAGAAGAGAGATGAGTCGCTGGCAAGGAAGGCCCGCGGCTGTTTCACGCCAAATACGATTCGCCCGGCGCCCCCGAGCGCCCCCTAGTGCGCCGGGTTCGGGTTGGGTCCGCCGGCGCCAATTTCGGCCCGAGCCGGCGAAAAATGGGCCCTTGAGGGCGCGACTGGGCCGATTTTTCGGCGCCGGCGGCCGAAAAATCGCCTGGGGGGCCTTGTTGGGGGCGCGGCTCGAGATGCTCTTAGATTAAAGTCTAGTTGAACATAGTTTGGCAACAAAGTTTTTAGAGAACTATGGTAATTGAAAACCACAGTATTCAGATGTGTAGACAATGGATACTACAGTTTCTTTAAACCATGGATTTTCTTAGTTTTAGCAAAACTATCTAGGTGTTTGGCTGGTGTTGTTATACTACAGTTTTGACTGATTGTAACGCTGGCTGACAGCTGAAACTCAGTGAGCTACACGACCTAACAGCCGCCGGGTGCATGCAGCTGCTACGTCGTCCGCACATATGTAGCAGATTTGTGTACTGCTATGCTAACTAGACAGGCGCAAGAAACAGATCGTTCAGCCGGCCTTCAATGGCTGGATTCATTTAACCAGGAGGTGCATGATTGATCAAGAGCCTGTGGCAACTTAAGTTCATTAATCAACTAGATTGAAGTAAATACAGTCCTAGGAGCGTGTTGCTATTATATGTCTATGCCTGCATGTACTTTTGGAGGCAGACCAAAATTCTTTGTGTGTGTACATGCGCCATTTATACTGAATCGGCTACCTAGCATATATATCCGGCTACATACAAAGTGTTCTCCAAAAGGACCAATCGATGTAATCAGTGCGCTACTCGTCCGAAATTAATCGACAGCCATGGACTCCATGAAGGAGCGTGCAAGATCACTAGAAACTAAGCAGTGCCGTCATCCCATCCAGCAGCGTCATATCTAATATATATGTCACCCCTTGCAGCAATCTTGCAATCGGACGGGATAAATGGAGGAAAATTAGGAGGCGGTCGCAGCTGATATTCTTATCTCGACGTAGATGGCAATGTCAACTGCACTTTCTCTCTGTTCTGTTTAGAAAAAAGAGGTCCGAACCACTTTTTCAAATACTTCTAAAATACCACAGTTTCTGGAATATTATGGTTTACAAAACTTCGGTTTTTGCTGAAGCCAAACGCATCAAAGTATTCAAAACCAAGGTTTTCTAAAAAACCACGGTATTCTAGAAAAACTACAAAAATACTTTGCATCCAAACGCACCCAGTAGTATTATAGTCTATATTTTTCATCCTTGTCCCCGAAGTCTTGTGTAATGTATGCAATAGTTGGTTTACATTTTCCTTTTTGCCCCACAAGCACAACTCGGGCTCCCGATTGATTTCGTTTTCCCTCTCTGGTGGATCGACAACTTCTAGTTGGATTCACTTTTGATCTCTTGTTGTTTGCCGGCTCAGGATTGATCCTGAAGCTGTTAATGACACCGACTTCATCGCCTACATGTGCATTCACATTTGAGGTCGTGTATGGTGCGTTCTGTCCGGGGAGGTCTTTTATCCCCCTTGTCCGGTCACCCCGGTTGATCCTACTCCACCAGCACAACCGGCACTTGCCGCAAGTGTTTCCCAGACTTAAAAGGATGCGGAAAAAGTTTACTGATGGTGGTGTTGTTGCCGTCTATAACGTTTCTGATTACCAGATGGCTCTCCACACTTATCATCATAAACTGGCTATCTATGCACGGTGGTTTGATGAAGATGCTCATTCTGCGGCTTTGTCATTGTCTTGCCTTATTTTTCCTTGTAGTTTGTGGGATTATCTACAGCCTTCGGGATGTGAACTCACCTTCGCTACCACTATCTAATAAGAAACCTTATTAGAAACACAACCATGGTTTTGATTGGTTACGTCCACTTTCCAATATACATTCCATTTCAATGTGATTTTAGAGAAACATCTCTGCACTACATGTAAGAGTAAGACTTAAAATTATGCCTTGTACAACATCTACAGAATCTTTGATTTTACATATGGCTTAGTAAAGAACACATAACTCAAAGAGAAACTGCTATCGAGCAGTTGCTATAGATAGCGTAACACCATTGATACTGCACGATTGTGTAGCAGAAGTATCCTCTTCATTGCCAACCCTTAGATTGAAATACGGTGGGTGCTTAGGCTCACGTAGGATCATTGTCTTGCTGCTTAGCATTGCAGTAACATCCAACATGTTTGGTCGATCTACTGCATTCTCTTGTACACATAGTAGTGCAATGTTAATGCACCTCATAATTTCTGTTGGGTGAGTCTTTGGAAGAAATGAATTAAGTGATGCATCAACGATATCAATCCATCTTCTGTCTTCCCATAACTGCCAAGCCTATTTGCAATTTCATGATATACTTAAGTATGATTAACAAAGCAATTGTTTTCATGTTATATGGACATGTATGAACTCACATATCCGAGGAGATTGATGAAATCACCACATTGATGGCTACCGGAATTCCTTTTCCCACTAAGGATCTCGAGAACTAAAACACCAAAGCTGAATACATCGGATTTGATAGAGAATAGGCCTTCAGAAGCATACTCGGGAGCCATGTAACCACTGAAATGATGTAATAACATAGGTCCAGTTAGTATATATGGTTAACTTGTAGTATATGAATATTCATAAGTGGTGTAACTATTTGAAACTTACTATGTACCAACTACTCTTCTCGTACTGTTTTCCTCGTTGTTATTTGGGCTGAATATTTTTGCTAGTCCAAAATCCGAAATTTTAGGATTCATTTCATTGTCCAAGAGAATGTTGCTTGGCTTAAGATCTCGATGTATAACACGCAGACGAGAGTGCTTATGTAGATAAAGAAGGCCTTCTGCTATTCCTTCAATTATTGATAGACGTCTGTTCCAATCCATTAAAGCTTTTCTGCGTTCATCTGCGTGAACTAAATATTAGTATAGCAGAGAAAGGACATCTAAACAATAAAAGTTGGACACCTCAATTCTCAAGAGAGTGCTATTAGGCATATAGGATTTCTAAGAACATTACAGTAGGATATTTTAAGTCATATTTATGGCATCAATATACTAAACGATGTCTATGAATCTAAAAATGCAAATGTGTACCAAATATGAAGAAGTCCAAGCTTTTGTTCGGCATGTATTCATAGACCAGTATCTTTTCCTCTCCTTGAGAGCAACATCCCAGCAGTCTCACCAAATTCCTATGTTGAAGCTTGGCTATGAGCTGAACTTCATTTTTGAACTCCGCCAAACCTTGTCCTGAATGTGAAGCAAGCCTCTTAACTGCTATCTCCATTCCCTGAAGAAAATGTCCCTGGAGAAAAAAAGAGCACAACTACCAAGTAATTAGTAAAATGGAAATTAACTCCACTTTGTATCGATGTTCTTCGGAGTAATATTTATCACGAGGCTATATGTGGGATACTAATTATTATTATTATTATTATTATTTAAGAGTTATGAATTTTCAGGGACATATAAAATATTTCTCTATTTAATATAAAAGGAGGATTTAGAAGAGTATGATATATGTACCTTGTATACTCGGCCAAATCCACCTTCTCCAAGTTTATTTTCTTCAGAAAAGTTACCCGTGGCCTCCTGTATCTGATCAAACTCAAAAAACGAAAACCCTGATAACATTCCTGTTTCCATATCCCATACTAGTTCATGATCCCCTCCGTGCAACTTAATAGTACGCCTTTCTCGCAATCTCACTGAACCTGAAAAATTGAACATTGGTGCAACGGATCGATCTCCCTAATTACTGCTCTGTATATTTAGTGGAGTACAAAGTAGCATTTCAGAAACACATTTACCCACGTTTTCTGATCCTTCCTCTGAGGCAACGACAATAAACCATGAAGCAGAAAGCAGCTAGTGCCACAGCAGAAGCCAGACATATTGCAATTATCCATGCTTTGATTCCTGTATTTTTAAATTAAACATCCTTGAACGAATTATCAAGAGCATGATCAACAGTAATCTTTGAACTGTCTGGGCACGCCCGAAACAAAATTAAATAAAACGAACAGTTCGTGTACATAATCTTGCCTGTTGGAGGAGCCCGAGTGATGGAGGATGGATTGATCCGCCGCATAGGTTGGTCGAAGAACATAAACGTCTCGAACCTGATGTTGCAGCGCAGGACGAATATCCGTCCTCCCTGGCGCATGGACGTGGTGGCGTTGACCATGCCGATGAGCCGCTGGAGACATGCCAGGCAGTCTCCCGCAGAGAGGTCCGGCGTGCACTGCGCCAGGGAGTAGAGCGTCGGCACGGCATCCATGACCGCTGTGGAGTACCGCCTCGCCGCCTCGGCGGCCGAGTCCTGGGCTGTCACAGTCAGCAGCTTGTGGACGTCTGCGGCGGTGATGGTGGCGTCCGCGGAGATGTTCCCCGGATTCCATGCCTCGAAGAGCGTGCCGTTCTCGGTGAGACCGGCCGCGGGGCTGAGGAAATCGCTGTCGCCAGAGAAGCCGAGGACGCAGCCTGGCCTCTGATTGTTTACGTCGTCATAGTCGTAGTAGACGGTGGCGGCCTCGTCGTTGGGGCATGTCTGCTGTGCGTGCTGGAATGAGGCGGCAACACAGTCCGCACATGCCGTGTCGTTGGCGAAGTCGCCGCGGCAGAGCGTGAGTGCCTGCACGGCATCGGGTGCTTGGCCAGCGGTTGCGGCGGCAAATTGCTGAGGGGAGGAGGAGGCATTAGTGGGGAGGGTGGCGGCAAGGGCGGCGAGGTTCGACTGGTAGGTGCTGTTGGTGGTGTAGTTGCTGCCGCTGCCGCAGAGCTGTGCCGTTCCCGTTGCCGACAGCGGCATCAAAAAAAGGAGCAGGACGCCGGGAATCAGCATGTTAGCTAGCTAACCGCAGCACGGCCGGCCACGCTCTCTTTCTGTTTGTCCTAATTTTACCTTGCTTGCTTCCTCAGTTGTGTATCATTGCGTGGCTTTCAGCAATCAGCTCAGCAGTCAATAATTCTCTGGCAAAAAAAGACAGTCAATAAAATGGAAACCGTCAATCGCGGTGTCGATGAAACAATTATTCATGGCAGCTACCAACCGGCAGGGATCGAATAGAGCAATTAGTTAATCCAGAAGTCAATCAAGGCGTCACAGGTTTATATAATGAAATAACTACTCACCTGAATGAAAATTCCAACACAAGATCTATCAATTGGACAACATCTTTTAAAGAAAAAGATTTATGACTTCGTGGCTATTATATTGCAATTTTTTTACAACACCATACTTTTGTGTCAAATCATCACGTATCAGTGGTAACTTTTTCGGCAGCAGTGGGCTCTGTTGGGAAAGGCGAAGGGTGAGACAACGGGCACACGGTGATCCAGCGGCTTGGTCATACTGATGCCATGGCGAGGACGGCTGCAATGTCGCCAGCCACGTAGTCTACCAAAATGTTTTCGAATCTGCACTCATATTCAGCTTAGAGCTCTGTATCTGAACATCATTTACTTTTGTTGTCTGTGGTTGGTGGTTGTATGAATCTCTTATTACTCTATCTGGCTGGGCTTTAATAATTTAAAGTCGGGCGCATCTTGCACCTTCGTTCTTAAAAATAATTGTCATGTACATCCCCACGAATTAAATCATCATGTGTCTAAAACTCGAGTCAGCTTATGATAAACAAAAACCGCTTAGGGCACACCATCAACAATTCTTATTATATTTTATTTCGAAACAATGTGATGCGTGTTCCAATTTAATATTTAGATAGAAAATGTAATAAAAATGCTATAGATAAACCAATAAACCTCGTTAAAAATATGCAAAATAAAATAAAATTAGGGACAACTGAAGTCAAGGTAGCAACAACATAGTCTGTGAAAACAAGAATTGACCACTTAAACTTATACTTTGACACAATGGTTACAATATCATCAATACATGTTGGGACATCACAAACATAGTAAACAAGGAGAGAAAAACTATCTAGGAATTGCGACAGATATGGTCATGTCATTAATACTACATGACTCTGTAGCAGAAGACTCCTCTTCATTTCCGACCCTTATGTTGAAATATGCCGGCTGCTTAGGCTCGTCGATGTTCATATCGTCGGTGCATAGCATTGCTATAACATCTGCCATGGTTGGTCGATCGGCTGCATTCTCTTGTACACATAATAATGCTATATTAATGTATCTCATAATCTTCGGCGATTGACCTTTGGGAACCAATGATGTATCAAGAAGATCAATTCCCCTTCCCTCTTCCCATAATTGCCATGCCTGTTTGCAGTTTTAATGTTATGTTATGTCTTCAAATATCTAAAAAAAATGTAGGTCACACAGAAAACATAGAAAAAATTTACTTGCTTAAGTTTATGTGTATAATCTTACATATCCAAGAAGATTGATGAAATCACCATATTGCTGGCTACCAGAATTCCGCTTTCCGCTAAGTATCTCAAAAATAATAACACCAAAACTGAAGACGTCTGATTTAATAGAGAAGACACCCTCCGAAGCATACTCAGGGGACATGTAGCCACTGAAATGGTATATGATACATGTCAAAATTATTGCATATGATTGAGGTGTAATATAAGTACTCAAGAGTGGATTGTGTTTCTGAAACTTACTATGTACCAACCACTCTTCTAGTAGTGTTTCCTTCAGTGCTATCTGAGCTGAAAATTTTTGCTAGACCAAAATCTGAAATCTTTGGATTCATTTCGCTATCCAAGAGAATGTTACTTGGTTTAAGATCTCGATGTATGATACGTAACCGGGAGTGCTTATGTAGGTAAAGAAGTCCATGTGCTATGCCTTCAACTATTGCTACAAGTTTGGACCAATCAAGTAAAGCTCTTCTTTTTTCATCTACACATCAGACAAACATTGGTATAAAATGAGAAATACGCCAGGTTAACTGATCAAAATTTGTGCTACTTGGTAGCCTATGTAATGAAATTAGACTCATGGGGTTAACAGAAAAATAAAATGTGGAGTCAATTTTAGTTACTCTGATGCATTGATAAATATTGTGTAAACTCAAATAAGAAATGCATAGACATACCAAAGATAAAGAAATCCAAGCTTTTGTTGGGCAAGTATTCATACACTAATATTTTCTCCTCTTCTAGGGAGCAACATCCAAAGAGCCTAACCAAATTACTGTGTTGTAGTTTGGCTATGAGCTGGACTTCATTTTTAAACTCTACGAAGCCTTGTCCTGAATGTGAAGAAAGTCTTTTAACTGCTATCTCCAATCCATCAGCAAGCTTGCCCTGGTAAAAATATATATTCTAAAGTTAGGCACTTCCACTTTGCACTATAAAACCTCCTAACAATTGTTATAAATGTGGGCTCCTTTGTTAGCTATCATGTTAGGAAGCTAAAGAATTTCGAAATAAACATATAAAAAAACACACGCATAGTAATTTACCTTGTATACAGCACCAAAGCCACCCTGTCCAAGTTTATTTTCTTCCGAAAAATTATTTGTGGCCTGTAGTAGCTGTTGGAAGTCAAACACCATGAACTCTAAATTTTTGCCTTGCCAAACTAGTTGTTCCTCTCCTTCCAAATCCCGAGAACGTCTTGATCCTTGTAACCTCATCAGTTCACCTACATGATCAAGAATCGGCACAATCCCTCTTTATTGATATATGTTTAATAGTGTCTTATTAAGACTATGATTAAAGAGTAACTAATTCAAACAATAGAATGGCCCATTCAGAAACTAACTAATTATTAGTGGCATACCTTTTCTTTGTTTTGTGATCCGACGATAGTACAAGATGGAGAAGAGAAATGTTGCTGCAGCTAGAGGTATTAAAACTATGGGAATTACCCACAGCTTGTTCATACGCCCTGATATGGACATATACGATAACAACCAATCAGGTGTGTATATAATAGAGAATTTTACCTCCATGTCACAAAATTACATATAGGAACCCTGGGGCTGGACTTACTCTTGTGTTGGGTTGGAGTTGGAGCTAGCGGCCCCAGACTTATCATTGGTTGGCCTTGATAGAACTGAGACGCATCATACCTGAAATAACACCGTATGACACCCATCTGCCCTCCCATGCGGAGGGACATGGTGGAGTTGATCATGCCAAGGAGATGTTGCAAGCACTCTAGACAGTCCCCGGAAGACAGGTCCGGCGTGCACTGTGCCATCGAGTACACCTTCGGGAAGTTTGTGCCGCTGTCCACGACACCCGTGGCGAACCGCCTCGGCGACGCGCTGGCTGCCTTCTCCACTGTCTGCACCAGCAGCTTGTGGATGAGACCAGTGATGAGCGGCACGTCGCTGGTGACGTTTCTGACATTCCACCTCTCAAAAGGAGGGTCGCCACCATTTTCTCCTTCTGTACTATTGGTGAATGAGGGAGCGAGGATGTCTTTGAAGTTGTAAATGAGGATACAATCGGCATAGTAGGAGGCAGCCCTGAAGCACTCTACCTCTAGCGGCGTAGCATTCTGCACTTTGCCGAATACGTTGGTGATGCACTCGGCGCAGGCTGTGTCATTGAGGACATCGCCACGGCAGAGCGCGAGCGCATATACGGTGTCGGGGGCTTGGCCGATGGTGGCGGTGGCAAAGTGTACTGGGGAAGAGGAGGATTTGTTGGGGAGGGTGGCGGTAAGGACCTTAACGTTGTCGCAGAATACATCGGCTGCCGCCGGGAACAGTGTGAGGCTGCTGAGTAGGAGCAGCAGGATTATCGCCATGCCTTGCTCGAACAGCATGTTGTTCCTCTTCTCTCAATCCAGATGAACAATTCAGTCCGTGCACTTATTTAACAGCAAGTCACCATCGCTCGCCTGGAGAAGAGAATACCAGAGCATTTTTTTAGTTGATTTCTGCATCTTGTTGGTCAGTTGCTTTCCGTTCAGGAGTAGTAACTAATCAACACATTGGAACTAATCAAGGCAACAATAATGCTTGGTTTCTGGAATCAATGAGTTGGTCTTCAGCAGGTATGGTCATCCCAGGCTGCTGGGAAAAATAGAAGACAAATAAAATGCACTTTTATTGCGGACGTCAATGTTGTACTTAGTTAAAGTTTTAAGTTGATCTTGCTGCTACCTGGTTATACATAAATTTGTCTCCTTATTCCATATAGAGAAAAGTATTTCCACATAGCGTCTTGACTTGGGCACTTCACTATCCACCAACCAAAATAACTAATTCTGTGCCTGTTTCTAGCACCATTGCGTGCCGGTCTGGTCAAGAAATTATTGTGTCACTATTAGAATTTAGCCACCATCAAACCACGACTGACTTACTAGTTAAAAGTACAATAAAATGGTGCCTTTGGAACTATTGGCCGGCCGGTACAAGAATTCAAATGGGTCTCCATCCGTGTCCTTTCTGCTAGAAGTTTCTACCTCACATCTGTTTAGAACGTACCCCATCACCTAGATAACATGGTTTCAATTTATTTGCATAGTTGTATTGCATGCACTTGGTGAGTCACATGGGTTCGTTCTTTTGTAACCGTTGGTTTCACTAGTGGTAGCTGGGTGTCTCATGGTATTGTATAATCAAGTGCTGAAACTTCGGTGTCAAACATTGGTATTTTTCTCTGCGTGACCTTGTATGAACTCCATCTTTTTTGCAAGAGAAACTTTAGTCTATTCATCATCTGTCATGGTAGCACATAGAACACCAGGAGTAACAAAACTTACAACCAGGTCCATGGACCACCTAGAGATGACCACAAGCACTGGAGCGAGCCGAAGGCGCGCCGCCATCATCGTCGCTTCCTCGCAGAAACCGGGCAAACGTTGTTGTGGTAGATAGTCGGGAAGTCATCGTGCCAAGGCCCTACAGGACCAGTGCACCAGAAAAGCATCCGCCGCAGTTCAAGAGAA